CATGCTGTTGATGTTGATGTTGATGATGGTGATGATGATGGTGGTGGTGATGATGACGATGACGATGATGGTGATGAGGATGATGAGGAGGAAGAGAAATATGGGGGGGGCGACGGAGGACAGAGAGAGAGAGAGAGAGAAAGCGCGAGAGAGAGAGAGAGAGAGAGAGATCGCAATGATTCGGACGGGTGTCCAGGCGCCGCCCAGACAAGCGGGGGGCGGGCCCTGCGCTTGAGACTGGCGGTGCAGCGCACTGGCGGGGGAAGCGAGAGAGAGAGAGAGAGAGAGAGAGAGAGAGGGAGAGGGAGAGAGAGAGAGGGAGAGAGAGAGACCCCCCGCGACCAGAAACTGCGGCAGTGTGGTGGGAAGGAGGCCCGAGCGCCAGGCTGCGCACGCGCGCCGGGGCTCCCATGGGCAGCGGGGCCGATGGGGGGGCGCGGCGCCTGGGCGCCCTCGGCCCGGGTGGGCCCCCCCCTCCGCGAGGTGCCCCCTGCCGGAGGTGGCGAGGCCTGCCATGCTGGGCAGGGCAGTGGCGGTGACGGGAGGTGTGCGGGTGCGCGCAGGAATGGTCCCGTGAGCATGGCTTAGCCGACCCCCATCTCCCCAGCGGCGTGTCCTGGGCCCCACTGGCCGATTTACCCCCTTGATGGGGATCTGCGCCGTTCCCTTCGGGTTGCCAGGGGTGTATCCCCAACTGGGGGGGCAGTTTGGTGGGGGTCTCGAAGGGGCTGGGGATGGGGATGGGGGTCGGGTAAACGATACTGATCCTGGGCAAGAGTGACTTCTGACTCGCGGCTGTGGGGGGGTTCGGGGGGCCAAACCTGGGCGCGCAAGCCGCTGCTATCGAATCCCTTTCAGCCATGTGGGGACCCCAATGTACCCGCGCAGAAGGTCACTCTGGCTAAAGATCACTCTTTCGCATAGCCAGAATATGGAGTGAAACGCGCCAGGGCGCTACTGGCCAGGCGGCGGGCTCGACTCGCTGCTGGACGCAAGCGCGAGCAACGATGATCTCATGCATGGTAAACGGGAGTTCAGCTTGCCTTCGAACCTCAACCGCCACGACAGCCTGAGTGCTGGCACGCCTCTCGGTGTCGACAGCAGTCTGGGTGAGCGCCCCGTCGTGCTGGTGGAGAGATGAAGTTTTGTTTGCCCGCCACTAGCACTTGAGATCCTCAGTAGAGAGGTGTGGCTTTTTGGAAGTGCGAACTGGCGCGGCCTCCGGCGGCTAATATCAAGTACGCGCTGGGATTGGATATCCGCGGAGTTGCCAGACGCAGAAGCTCCTCGTGATGCGAACGAGGCGCTGGCGGAGAGCGCTCTCGTAGGCCTGGGCGGCGTGCTGGTGACTCCAGGCGGCTTCGGTGGGCCGCGGGCGCGGCGTGGCCGCGGCGCCCGCCGCTGGTGGGGGGCCCCTGGGGAGTCGGCGCGCGCAGCGTGCTGCGCTTGGGGCCCCGGCCGCTCGCGGCGCGGGCGGCTGCCTCGGAGCCCGCTGCGGGGGCGGGCGGGGCCCGTGGGGGGGCCGCTGCTGCCCGAGCCCCTTGGGGCGACGAAGCGCTGCTGCAGCACCTGCGCGCTGCTGCTCTCTTCGGCAGGTTGTGCGTTTCCCGCTTGGAGCCCTCATCGTGGGGCCCTGCAGCTAGGTCGGGCCTGTCCCCCCACAGGGGGGTTTTTGACGAAAAATACAAAATATTCAAAGCAGATTCCAAAATGGTTTAACAAAAACTAAACAAATAGTATCCAGACAATTCTTTTACTTTTTTCTGATATTCCTCCTGTAGAGGGACGTGCCCGACTTAACCCTGCAGCTCGGTGCAGGCGGCTTCGAGGGCACGGGGGTCCCTTGTCGATGGCGTCGGTCACGCCCCAGCCCTGGAGGCGGTGTGCGCATTGCACTGGTGGGCCTGCTCGCCGTTTTCCAGAACGCCCGCGTCCTCGCCCCCGCTGCCGACTTCTTGGCGTTGCTCGAGGAGGTCCTGAGGTGGGCCGCCTGCAGGATCATCACCTGGCTTGCGGGCGGGTGGCTTGGGCCCCGTGGCTTTGCCTCGGCAAAGGCGGCCGAGCGTGGCCTGCCCTGCATCCAGCGGAGGGAGGGGGGCCCAAGCTTCTTGGCGAGGCTGGCCAGGCTTCTGGGCCGCCTTCTCCTGGGGGGCGGGCGGCTTGGGCGGCGCTCGCGCTGAGGTGGGCACATGGTCCAGTAGGTGGATGGCTTCCTGTGTGACGATCGTGGCGGTCGCAAGCTTCGCCCCGTTGTCCTGCGTGGGAGGGTCGGACGCCGCGATGGTGCACGGGGCGCTGTGCACCGCTACCCTGGCCACGGCGTTGGGCGCGTCGGTGGCCGCCCTGGGGAAGGCGCAGTGGCCAGACGCGGGACTGTCCCATGCGGTATACTTCAGACGCCTAGTTGAGCACCTTCAGGGCGTTGGACACCTGCGACTTGGTGGCGCACTGGGGCTCGAGCTCTGGGACGCGGTGGCGCGTGTTTCGGCGCGCCGCATATGACGCTCTAGCGAACGGGATCGGATCGAAAATTATGCACGAAGGTTGCACCGAATCGCGCGCGCATGTGCATGTCATGACTGCACAGCTTCCGGCAAATGCGAACGAATGCAGCGTGGCGCTGCGCCCTCCGCGCGTCCCGCCGGATCTCCCCCCTGGATATTGCCCCGATTGCCGCTGAGTTCCCCAGGGGAACATCGTAGCTGACAAGCGCAACGGGCGTTCGACAACGTGCGGGCATTGCGTCGAGGCATGCGCCGTCGGTGTCTTGACGCCGACAGCTATGAAGACGGCGAGCCCACGATTGTAACCACATCGCAGTGTGACGGTCGATGTTTCTGGTGCTCTGATGCACGCCAGCGGCTCGTCTTGGCCCACTCACACTCGACGCGCACTTCAACTGCCCCAGTTCCCTTTGGACGCCCGAAATAAAACTGGGCACAATGCCCAACAACAAATGTTGTCCCAAACCAACAGCGGCCGCTGTTGGGCAGGCGGCCTTCTGTGGACACAGGCCGCGGCGGCGCGGACAGCGAGTCCTGTTCAAAATCAGAAGGAACTGCTGTTGGGCATCGTACCCATTCTTCCCGTACCCCTTTCGCTCGTGCCGACTCCCGCGCCCTCGCAGCCCCGAGAACCAAGCGTCCACTCCCGCCCCGTCTGCTCCCGCACCGTGCCAGGCCTCCCGAATGTTGGCCGGGGCGGCCTCGGTGCCGCGGAGCTCGAGGGCAAGGGCCTTGGCGGCTGCGCTCTCGCGTAGCACGCGGGCTCCGACGCACCGGTCCCCTTGGCTCTGACGCCGCGGGCCCCGCGGCTGTGGGAGACGGCGACGGCAGCCTCCGTCGTGCCCTCGGCATCACACCATGTGATCACGCAGGGGGGCCTCGCGATTCTGGTGGGCTGTGAGGTGCCACGTTGGCTGAGGTCACAAGAGATCCCATGCCCAACATCTCTGGGACGTTCGTCACGTCCACTGATAAGACCCCGCAGGCGGCCGCAAGCCTGCAGCCGAGCCATGGCGGCCGAGCTGGGTGGGCTGTTCGCGGATCGCCACTGCGGCGAGCTGGTTTTGGACGACGGCATTGAGCGCCTCAAGAGAGGCTTCATCCAGCCCTCGCTTGGCCTCGTTGCTAGAGTCGGCCTTCTGGCGCCTGCGGGCGGCCTGTTGAGAGGCGCGCTAGCGAGAGCCCTCCCCGCCCCGGGTTTCACTGCGATCGCCGTTGACAGTTGCCGCTCCTGAGAACTGTTCGGCAAGCCGCTCTTAGAGCGTCTCCAGGGCTGCGGTGGTCTCTGTCTCCTGGATGGCAATGCGCATCCAGGTGGCGATCCATGAGGAGGAGGAGGAGGAGGAGGAGGAGGAGGAGGAGGAAGAGGAGGAGAAGAAGAGACTCTCCAAGGACTTTCTTTCCTCGACCTCGAGCCCCAGACCTCTTCCGTGGCGCGTGCTGGCCAGAACCTCCAAGGCGGACCAGGCCATGGGGATCGGAAGCTTCCCAGAGGCACCCAAGAGGCAAGATATTCCTAAAATTAAGGCGGGCATGTCCCCCTACAGAGGAATGTTGGACGAACAATACACAATATTTGAAACATACCACAAATATCCAAAAATACTAGGAGCATCGTCCCCAGATCATTTTTTACTATCTTAGAATATTCCTCCTGAAGAGGGACAGGCCCGACTTAAGCCTGAAATCCCAAATCCCGGTTCTCCGCCGCGATCCTCCTCGGTTGCTCTCGACCCCTTCCTCGGGACCGGCTCTCTGCGTCCTGCTCATTTCACGACCCTCGGGTCCAGAACCGGAGCCGGAACGCTGAACATCTTGAAAAAACCCTCTGGCGGTAGGGTCCAGGGAGTGTGCGAGGCTACGCCTGCGAAGGCTGGGTCAACCAGCAACGACTTGGGGAATCGGTGACTCGGATCGGAACGTCTGTCGGATGGGGCTGCATCGGCACGGACCCGGACTCGAATCGGATCGGCCGCGCCAGGGTGCCTAACACCGCCACGCAAACACCGGGCCACATCGGATCTCTGAAGACCAGAACCGAAACTGGACCGGGCCGGCAGGAACCGATGCCGAATCGGATCGGTCGGGTGGAGAAACAGATCCAGAGCGAAGGCGCCTGGTGGCTCTCGGGCCACAGCTCGTGCCTCGTGCGGCCGCTCGGGGCGCTGTGGGCACCCCCAGAGCGCTGTCGGCGAGGCGCAGCTGCTGAAACGCATCCCCGATGTGAGAACACCGGTCATAGCCAACGAAAGCGTCCGACAACTCCCGAGCCTTGGCCCTGCCTTCCCAGACATCCGCCGAGGTGATTTATTCAGTCCGCGGTCCCAGAGCTCCCGACCCCTTCCCGAGGAGGTAGTTTTCATGCTGGCTAAATGTTTGAAGCCTTGAGCCCCAAGATAAGCCATTGGGGGCCAAAGTCGAGGAGCAACTCCTGGACTGAAAGAGCGCGGGTCGTCGCAGATCTGGGTTCCGAGACGCCGACCCCTGCGAGGTCGCCTGAGGGGATGGCGGACACGCACACGGCTATTATGCACAGCAGGTTGAAGGCCGCGCTGCCCACGATCGTGGAGGGGCCGAGCTCGCCGCTCTGCATGTTGTTGGACATCAGCTCGATCACGCTGGCGGGGGCTCGACATCACGGGCGCCGCTCGCGTCGACGTCGTCGTCGCCAGTTCTCCTCGCTCTCGCCGCTCTCGTCCGGTAAGGTGCCCTCCAGGCCTCCAGGTAGGCCCCGCTGGCCTCAACCGCGTCGCCCGAGTAGGCGGGGCGGTCTGAACACCTCCACGCTGGGGCAGGGCGCGGTCAGAGGCCTTTCCATGAGATCGCCCTGGACTTCTCCGGGGGCCCGTCGAGGCCAGCCGGGACCACCCTGGGGGGGCTGTGTGCACGCGGCCCGAGGCCTCACCACTCTCTTCGCCGCTCTCGCTGTCGACGTCGTTTCCGCCCCCGTCGCAAGAAAGCACTTGCGGGCAGCAGCGACGCACGCGAATGCGTCGACAGCCGCCAGCCGCGCCGTCCTCCCCCGCCCTCTGGCTCGGCAACCGCTGGCCGGCGCCCGCGGCATCCTCCGTCGCGCAGATCGAGCGTCGAGACTCTTTGAACCTTCCCCCCAGACCTCCGACGATACGATTTGTTCAAAACGGGTCGTTGTTTCCTCGATTTCGGCCTCGAGGTTCCGCTATCGCCAGGTCGGGCCTGTCCCCCAACAGGTGGACTTTGGACGAAATATGGAACATGGTCAAACAAATACACCAAACTTACACACACGCGCCCGGAGAGCCGCGCCGCGCGCCCTCCGGGCGGTGATGAAGACGCGGGGATGATCAATGATCCTTCGTGTGCTAGCCCCCCACACACAAGTCATACGCCCATGGCGCGTGGACACTGACTGTACTGTACAATGCTGTGCTTCCACATGCGGTGATCATGCGCAAGGCCAGAGCTCAGATGGGCACGACATGCTTGCTCTGTGCCATGGTCGTCCGCTCGTTGCGCAGACGCCCATAATGTGTTAGCCCGATGTAAGTTTACCCCGTCCAGCTCCGCCGACAGCACGCAGCCCGTGCTGGCCCTCACAACAGCGCCTGCGTCGAATGGAGGGGCTGCGATGGACAAGCACGCGTTGGCGGCAGCACGCTTTCTGAGGATGGATGACCGCGCTGCCGCGCCTTCGCATGACGCGACATGGGTGACCTGGAGGGCAGGCGGGGTGGGTTTTCGGCTGCGGGAGCGGGGTGGCCCTTCCGCCAGAATGACCTTTCGCTCGCCTCGCTCCTCCCTTCCGCCCGCTTCCCCCACGAGGGCGTGCCGAGCAGCAGCGTGGCCAGCGCGCGCGGGGTGGGGGCGGCGGCAGCCCACCGGGCGAAGCAAAGGTGTCTGGCCGCACATCCCAGACTCCATGGCCCCCTTCCTTCCTTCCTTCCTTCCTTCCTTCCTTCCACTCCGCTTGGCGCCACCCCCAGGTCGGGGCGCGCGCCCGGCCGGGCCGCGCGGCACGGGCCCCCTCGCAGGCCGGCGAGCTGTGCCCGCATGCCGCCCTGCCCCGCGGCCGGGGGCTGCTCGGCTGGAGCCCGACGCCGAAGCGGGGGGCCCAGGAGGAGGAGGAGGAGGAGGAGGAGGAGGAGGAGGAGGAGGAGGAGGAGGAGGAGGAGGAGGAGGGGGAGGAGGAGGGGGAGGAGGGAGGAGGAGGAGGGGAGGAGGAGGAGGAGGAGGAGGAGGAGGAGGAGGGCCCTTTTCTCCTTCTCTCCACATGCGGCCCCCCGGCGCCCCCCTCGCCCGCGCCCGCGCATCCGGCCACGAGGCGCCGACCGCCCTCGCCGGGAGGGTGCCTCGAGGAGCGGGCCGCCCGCTCCCCGGGCGGATTGCGGCTCGGCTCCGCCCGGGGCAGCCGCCCGAGCAGGCCGGCGGCCCGGCAGCGTTCCTCCCCCCTGCCCGCCCAGCCTGCCCCTGCCTCGCTGCTCCCTCGCTCCCGCCTCCCCTCCCCTCCCCTCCCTTTCCCCTGCCCTGCCCTGCCCTTCCCTTCCCCTCTGCCCTTTCTTCCCCTCACTCGCCTTCTTCCCCTCCCTTCCCCTTTCTTCCCTTTCTTCCCCTCCCTTCCCCTCTGCCCTTTCTGCCCTCTCTTCCCCTCGCTTCCCCCCCCTCGCTCCCCTTCCATTCCCCTCCCTCGCTCGTCCTCTCCGGGCCCCTCTCGCCGCGGCGCTGGACTGCTCCGCTGGGCCCGGCGGCGGGGCGGTTCGAAGATGGGGCCCGGGAGGGGTGGGGCCCTGAGGTTCGGTCGGGCCCGTCCTCCTGCAGGCGGATTGTGGAAGGAGAGAATAGCCAAGAAATATCCCCAAATAGTCAAACATCGTCCCCATACGAGTCATTTTTCATATGCTTGAACTTTCCTCCTGCAGATGGCCATGCCCGACTCAACCATGAGGGATGGGGGATGGGGAGGGATCCCAGGTTGAATTTACGACGTGGCTTGAGGTGCCTCGCCTCATTTGCCTCGCCTCATTCGGGCCGCTTGGGGCCTGTTGGCGGCGTCCCGGGGGCGCCTCGGAGGCTCTTGTGGGGGCTCCTTGGGCCATCTGAGGGCGCTCTTGGGCCGCCGGTGCACTTTCGGAGTCCATCTTGGTAGACGAGCGCGTTTCACTCCTCGCAAAGTGACTCCTCGCACATGGCGTGGCTCCGTCGCGGGGGATATACGAGAGATTACGTCGAAACAGACGTGTGCTTTTCGGACGTTTGCGAGTAGGCACTCTGCGAGTAGTGGAACGAGCTCGGAGACTGGGGCCCCAACTCCGAATCGCCGACCGTGCCTCCGAGTGGAGCAGAGGTCCCCCGCAGGGCCCCCCCCCTTCGGAGGCCCGTCGGAGCCCCAGGACGGCTCTGGAGGCCTCCTCGGCGGTCGGACGAACATCAGGGCATCGTGTGGGGCCCAGACATGCTCGCGTCGTTTGAAAATCATGGCGGGAGGTCTTTGGCCATTTTCGGCATCGGCGAGGGCTCCCCCTCGCCATACCTCGGGACCGTCAAAAAACGACTCAGGATGGAAAACCGGTCCCAGGGAAAAGGTCGGGATTTCCAGGGACCCCGTATAGAAAAATCAGAACGTCGCATGTCTGGAGGGGAATACGCCCAAGGAATAGCGCATCGACCCCCCCTGGCCCCTTTCATCGCCGCCAGAAGCCCGGAAGCCCACCCCGCCCAGGACCGCGCGGACCCGCTCTGGAGGACATCGCCGATCGATCGGGGATGCATCGCCGACTCCAGCTCGACGCTTCCGCCCCCAAGTTGCCCTCCCCTACACGTCGTTCATTTCTCATCGTGCTCATTTCTAATTGTGCTCGTTTCTAATTGTTTCTGGCCCCCCAGTGGCCAGGAAGAGGCCCAGGATGGAATAATTGGACATGAAAGGAGCTTGGCTCCCCAAAAAATCAGATAACTTTCGAAAACTTAGAGATGAGCGGTGTGTAACGTTCCCCTCCCAGACGAGAGGGGGGTGGGGAAGGAAAGGGGGGGACGTCGATGTCGGCGATGCATCGGCGATGCACCGGCGATGCACCGGCGACGTCGGCGATGCATCGGCGACGTCCGCATGAAGAAAATCGCGCGATCCTCCGACCCCATCTACTCCGACCCCATCTAGGAGGCCTGGAAGGACATCGCCGATCTGTCGGCGGTGTATCGCCGATTCCAGCTCGACGCTTCCGCCCTCAAGTTGCCCCCCCTAGCGTTCCCCTCCCAAACACGGGGGGGGGGGGGGGGAAGAGGAGGACGAGGAGAGGAGGAGGAGGAGGAGAGGAGGAGAGGAGGAGGAGGAGAGGAGGAGGAGGAGGAGGAGGAGGAGGAGGAGGAGGAGGAGGAGGAGGAGGAGGGTGTGGTGCGAAATCTGCTGCCCTGCAGCTGGCTTCGGCCCCGCCGGCAGGCACCTGCCTCGACGCCTGGACGCCTCGGGCGCCGGGCGGGCAGCGCCGGGAGAATCGGCCGCGCGGGCTGCAGCCCGCTACCCTGAAGTCGGGCCTGTCCCCCTACAGGGGCATTTTCGAAGAAATATCAAGAATAGCCAAAACAATAAGTAATGACAAATGGTCCCCCCCCAAAAAAACCTAACAGAATCGTCCCCATACTATTGTTTTACTATCTTTGAGTCTTCCTCCTGTAGAGGGACAGGCCCGACTTAACGCTACCTCCCCATTGCGGTCCCCCCCTCGCGTCCGAACCGATCTTGTCATAGGAAGGAGCAGCGGGAGGTCTGGGCTCCGCCTTGGGTTCTAGAGTCCCTCCCTGGGCCCCAGGATCGTCACCAAAACTGCGCAGGACGAGAAGCTGGTGGTGGGATACAGGTCCAGGGTCCATATTACGGAGAACAGAAAAAACGTCGGGGGCCTGGGTCTGCATGCTCCCGGAAAGGTCGTCACGAAGGAAGCGGGCCCTGAGGGGAACGGGTTGCCATCCTGCCAGCGGCAGCAACCACTGCCTGGGCGCCCCCGGAGTTCCGTCGTCGCAGAAACATGCAAGATCCTGAAACATTGCGGCTGCGTCCCGAACCCCCATGCATTTCATCTCTCTGAGGCACCGATCCCGCGCAGGACACGTTCGGGGCCCCCGGAGCCAGGCGATGGGAACGCCCGGAGCGAAGAGGCCGCGCCGCTCCCAGGCATCCGATGATACCATTCTTTCCATGCGCGGCCCCAGAGGGCCCAACCCATTCCCCGCGGGTAGTTTGGCGTGCCCGATCCGTTTTTGATGAAGAGCCCTGGAAGCAGCAATCGAGGATATCTGGGCTCGGGTATCTGGGTTCGGCTCTCGGGGCCTGAGCAGGATCTCGGGGGCGCTGGAGCCCAACGCCATGAGCGTCAGGTTGGCCACCGTAGGGTTCCACACGTTCACCGTCCTGATCTTGCCTTCGCGGGCCGCGAGGGCGGGGCTGCGCAGCCCACGCGCCAGCCCCAGCGGCGACGCGTCTTTTTCCTCCTCCTCCTCCTCCTCCTCCTCCTTCTTCTTCTCGTTTTTGTTGTTATTCTTGCTATTTAGTATTATTGCTCATACTCTTATTCTTTGTATTGGTAGTATCATGAATAGCACGATTCATGATGTCCTTAATCTTGTTATGACTAGTAATTCTTTGGCTACTATTATCACTCGTATTATGTCTATTCGTATTATTCGTACCATTACTCTTCGCAATGTTAAAATTAGCATGACTAGTACTATTCGTGATCGTAGCATATTAATATCATTCTTCTTACGGTCAGGAACTTCTGCTCACCGTGTCGCGGTGGCGGCCTCAGCGGCTCGCTATGTCGTGCAAGCGGGTAGCGTGTTGCTCCGCCTTGCCTTGCTGGGCGGGAGGGTGGGGAAAGCTGGGGACGTTGACGCTCGGAGACTGGAACGTGGTTAGCGTGTCACACTGAAGGATGGTGGACCAGAATCGGCGGGTCGACACGCAGATCAAAAGCTCCGAACCGTATCATTATTCCTTAGACTGTTACACTCCTTCGTTTGTTGCTGCCCAGTCAAGAGCAAGCCAACATTAGTAGCAACGCCAGGATCGGGGAGACGTGGGACTCGAGCTTGGGGGGCCCGAACTTGTCAGGCGGGGCCGTCAGACAAATGGCGTGACCCGGCCTGAGATTTAGCGCGAGCTCCCGCTGCAGACATCTCGCGGACACTGGGCCGTCAAAACCCATGACGCGACCGTCAACAAAAGCGGCGGCAAAGCCGAGGTCCGCCAATCTCGATCCTCGGCTGCAGGAGCCACCGCTGACCCGCACAGTCTCTGAGTACACAGGCAGCGCTGCCGACAGCAAGTAGGATTCGCCGCGGTCAGTCTGAACGGCGGGGCAACCAAAGGCAAATGCGCGCGGGACTCGGTCCCCGACGCCGACGGCGTTAGGAGGAGGAGGAGGAGGAGGAGGAGGAGGAGGAGGAGGAGGAGGATTTTTGTTGACCTCCACGGGCCCACCGCATAGTGCAAGCAACTGGAGGAGCGCCCGTAGCCCTGAGAGGGGTCAGAGCTAGCCGCGCGACGGGGCAGCGGAGGAGTCAGTACTTCTCAAGCAACTGGAGGAGGAGGAGGAGGAGGAGGAGGAGAAAGAGGAGAAAGAGGGAGGAGGAGGAGAGGAGGAGGAGAGGAGGAGGAGGAGGAGGAGGAGGAGGAAGAGGACGAGGAGGAGGAGGCGGAGGAGGACGAGGAGGAGGAGGAGGAGGAGGAGGAGGAGGAGGAGAAAGAGGACGAGGAGGAGGAGGAGGAGGAGGAGGAGGAGGCGCTCTGGCCGAGGACCGGGGGGGACGCCGCCGCCGCCACATCCCTCCCCTGGCCGGGCCGCGCCTGGGCGAGGCACGGGGCCAGGGCGGACCCGGAGCCCGCGAGGAAGCCTCGCCCCAACGGCGCCAACATGCGCAACGAGTTCGCCGGCATTTCTCGGGTCGGGCGAAAGGGGGGGTTTGGGAAAAGGGGGGGTCACGAAATCTGCTGCATGTAGCCGGTTTCGGCCCCGCCGCCGGGCCCATTCCTCGATGCATGGGCGCCTTCCGGCGCCGGGAGGAGCTGGGAAAATCAGCTACGTGAGCTGATTCTCAAACCCCCCCTTTGCTACCCCCACCTTTTCGCCCGACCCGAACTTCGCCGAGACTTACCCGCCAATACGGAGACCAACGATGTCGTCAAAATCATCGTTACCCTCAACGTGGAGTGCAACAACAAGCCGGATTGACCGCCATGCGCCGACTCGCATACGCTGCGCGGAGAGGGCTTCAACCCAATACCGAGGACATCATCACGGTTCTGATCGGGCAGGCGCCGCCACAGACGACGTGTCCTCAATCGGAGCCTGATGACCATCCCCACCACCCGCATCGACACCCACGAGGTAGACATCATTGGAGGCAGCATGATCGGCATGAAGCCCACAGTGCGCCCACGACGTCGTCAGCATCAGCACTCGTATCGACCACACCTCTACAAGAGCAGACGCCAGCACCAACACCGATCACATGATGAACCCGTATGCGGCCACCTTCATGCCAGCGGAGACCAACGACAGTCATGACTACCTGGAGGCAGCTGCGGTCCGACCTCCGGTATCTTACCCCGACATCGCATACGACAAGCAAACCATCGACAACGCCATGCCGCAGGCCACACTACGCCGACGTACGACACCGCCGACGACCGTCCCGACCACCCCCGCCGCCCCCGCCGCCCCTCCCGCTGTCTTTTCCGCTGCGCCCAGCAACGCCCCCGCCGACGTCCCCGCCGACGCCCCACCCGACGACCTACCCGACACACTAACTGACGCCCAGCCCCACACCCCTACTGACGCCCACCCCGACGACCCTTTGGACGCTTCACCAAACACCCAACCCGACGCCCTTCCCGACCCCTCACAATACGCCCAACCCGACGACCCAACCCGACGCCCCTCACAATACGCCCTTCCCGACCCCTCACAACACGCATCCCGTAGGACCACGGCTACGTCCACTTCGGGACCCGGGAGGCGGCCAGAAGACCCCCCGCCGCACTGCGGGCATACCGTGCGGCAGTCCCACGCTGTGGGCCACCGACAGGAGCTTCGACGACCCCCACGACGACGCTCCCGTCGACGCCCCCGCCGACGCCCCCTCCGACACCTCCGCCGCCCCCCACCGACTCCCACCACGACGCCGCGACGACGCTTACGACGACGATGCGACCCTCCAGACGGCCTCCTACCTTCTCCGCCACACTCCAAGTCCACGGCGCGACCTACCAGGACCCCAATGCCACGGATGGCTCACACAAGGGCATCGATTTCAAGGCCTCCAGGGACATCTATTTCACGAAGCACCTCACCTCCGACTTCGTGGCCTCCCAGGTCTCCAATTTCATGCCTGATGCACACGAGGACATCCATTTTGCGGACCTCCAGGATTCCACTCTCACGGCCCCCAAGAACTTCAATTTCGCAGACCACATCACGGATCCAGACGCTACCAACCAGAACATCGATTTCATGGCTATGGGAACCGCCGGGGCCACTCACGACGACGACGTCGACCACCCCAACGACAACCTTTACGACGCCCCGACCGACGCCCAACCCAACGCCCTTCCAGACGACCAACCCGACGCCCCCGCTGACCCCCAACCCGACGGCTCACACGACGCTCTTTACCGACGCCCAGCCCGACGCCCTCCCCGACGCCCTTCCCGCCGCCTTCCCCGACGCCCAACCCGATGCCCAACCAGGCGCCCAACCCGTTGCCCTTCCCGACGCCTTCCCCGACGCCCAACCCGCCGCCTTCCCCGACGCCAACTTCGAGCCCTCCAAGGATACCGATTTCATGCCGAACATCACCTCCAGTTTCAAGGCCTCCAAGGACTTCAATTTCGCGGACCACCTCACGGATCCAGAGGCGTCACCTACCAGAACATCGTTTTCGAGGCTTTTGGAACGGCCGGAGCCACCCGCGACGACGACGCAGACCACCCCAACGTCCCTCCGCCGCCACTCCCGACGCACCGCCCGACGCCCCCGCCGACGCCCTACCCGACGCCCAACCCTACGCCCAACCCGACGCCCTTCCAGACGCCCGAACCGAGGCCCGAACCGACGCCAAAACCTCGCCTCGCCCGACGCCCTTCCCGACTCCCAGCCTCGCGCCCACCCCGACACCCTTCCCGACGTCCAAGCCGACGCCCACCCCGACGCCCTTTCCGACGCCCTTCCTTACGCCCAGCCCCACGCCCAGCCCCACGCACAGCAGGCACCCAACACTCAGCCTTACCGAGCTCACGAGCAGCACCACCATCCACGCCACCAAAACCATTGCCGCCACCAGGACCGTGCGCCAATCCCAGAGTGCGATTTCACACCAGAGGGACCTCTACCAGCGGGAGCAGACCCAGCGCCAGCGCCGACGCCAGCTGAACCAGCACCAGCACCGGAGCCGACACGAGCACCAGCACTAGAGCCGACACAGGCGGCGCCAGCGCCACACCTCGAAACAGGTACAAGACGACCCTGGCTTCCGAGCCTTGCCGCGCTACTGGCGACACCACCACACAACGCACCTTCTAGGGTGCAACGCCCCTCCGACCCTAGAGCCCTCGGTCCTCACAGACTGGCGCCGCCCCTGAGGCAACGCAACCCGCCGATGGCGGCACTCGGCCACAACCGCCTCCCCCCGTACCCATCTTCGGCTTCGCACCCACGACGTTGGCGGCGACACCTGTCAGAGGCCTGCGGCCCCCGCCTCCGCCGCGGGCGCATGGCCTGCGGCCACCCCTGCCCGCGTCCCCGAGCAGAGACCTGGCCACTCCCCCCCCTCCCAAAACCCCGACGCCCTTCCCACCCACCTCTACGACCACCACCCACCCTCCTCTACGACCACCACCCCTCCCGACGCAATATGCCTGGAAACGACATCCACCACAGCAATATCATGGATGGGTATACTACTGCGTCGACCAGAACGCCAGCGAGCATTTCGCGGCCCTGAGGGGCCAGAGGGGCAGGGATTAGCTTCAGATGTATGGATGATGCCGGGAGGGAGATTCGGGGATGGTTCGGGGAGGACGACCAAACTTTTTTATCCCCCCGAGGCCTCTGGAGGGAGCCTCGGGGCAGGATGGGTGGCTGCAGGATGAACCTTCGTGTGCCATGAGTCAGTCAGGAGGAGGAGGAAGAGGAGGAGGAGGAGGAGGAGGAGGAGGAGGAGGAGGAGGAGGAGGCGCGAGGACTGGGGGCACGAGGGCTGGGGGGCCCCCCGGGCCCCCCCGTAATGTGTGGCAGGAGTCTGCGCGGTCCCCCGAAACGCCGAATCCCAGACAGGATGGAACTGAAAGGACTCAAGGGGCCCAGGGACACACAAATAAATAACTACACAAATAATAGGATTCCCCATGTTTTCTTATATTGAATGGGTTTTTGTCTTCTCCCCCACTTCCCATATGTTTCCATATTTTCCTGGGAGTCGATGATTGATTTTGTCTGTGTGTTGCTTCCCCTCCTGAAGGACGGCGTCGCGAGGTCTCAGATGAAGTGCGGGGACGCGTGGCCCTCTCGGCTGCAAGGATCGGTTCGAGATGCCTCGTGGCCGCTGTGGCGGCACGCATCGGGAATAATGTTGCGTTGCCTCGTGGTCCTCGGAGCTTCAATCGGAATCGGTGGATCGCGACCACACGATCCTGTGGCCCTCGTGGTTGCAAAGATCGGAACCGGTGATCCGGGGCCTCGTAGCCCCTCGCTGAAGAAATCGGAGACAGCGGCTTGGTGCCTGATTGCCCATGTGGCTTTTTCAGAGGCCGAGCTGTACGATTCGTTGCCTCGTGAGATGGGCATAAGTTGAATCGGTGTTTCGTAACCTCTTGGCATCGTGGCCATCGCCGCTACAAAAGGTAGGAATCAATGGTCGGTTGCCTCGTGGCTTCATGGTCCGACCGAAAACCGACCAAACCGATAGCGAAACGGAACCAGGGCCTTTGCATCTGCTTCGAATGGCGCAGCGGCGCAGCAACGAAAAACCAACCGACCGAACCGAACCTAACCGAACGCAACCGACTACGACGCAGCCGAACCAACCGATCCGTGGACACCCTTGCTCCCCCTCCTCCTTCCGGACGAGGGCCTGTGTATCTGTCCTGCACCTGGACCCTCCTGGAGGTAATCTTCTCGATCGCCGCCATGAAGACGTCGGCGAGGCAAGCGACTCCAGCGAAGCAGTACATCAGGCCTGCGGCAGTCAGCCAGGGAGTGCAGGAGTGAGGAGGATGAGGAGGAAGAGAGTAAGAGGAGGAGGAGGTGGAGGATGAGGAGGACGACGAGGAGGAGGAGGCGGAAGAGGTGGGAGAGGAGGGATGACGACGCCTCCTCCCCGAGGACTTCCACCATCATAAAATGCTGGACCAGACCAGACTGGCCAGGAGAGAGGCAACCTGGAATGTGAGGCCCCCCCCGCTGTGGGGCGGCTCCTGGAAGCCGGGTGCGTCTGACCCGAAAGAGGAAGAGGCGGAGGGCGGGGAACAAGCACGGCCTTGTGCCCAGCAGCGCGAGACACTGCCAGCGCCACCACGCAAAGAGGAACCCGCACATTGAGCCACACCCCTCGACCGCCGGTTGGCAGGGACAGTTAACGTTTTGTGCCTGGGATAGACCGTGCGATGCAAAGCCTGGCCAATGAGGCGGACTTCCACGCCCGTCGGCGGAGCAACGTTGACGGAGACCAACACCTTCTCCGATGCCAAGGTGTGCATGCAATGCACGAGCCGCTGGCATACAGTCAGGCAATCTGGAGGCCTGAACAAAAGCGAAAAACAATCCTGTGCCATGACGCGGACTGGGTGGCGCTCGAGGTCTGATTCATCCTCTGCCACATTCGCCACCGGCCGCCCTAGGACATGTCCCAAAAACAATGGGGCAAAGCTGGGTGGCGCTCGCGGTCTGTTTCATCCGCGGCCACTTTCGCCACCGGCCGGCCCGACCGCAGACGTCGCAGCAACCGCGGGGCGACTCGCGCCGACAAAAGGAGAAAGCAGAGGACAGAGAAGGGGAAGGGGAACAGGCGGAGCGGCTGCCAGTCCCAGTGCCGCGGAAACTGCGGTCAATGACAGTGCCGCGGAAACTGCGGTCAATGAAAGAGATGCCCAGTCACGGGAAACTCAGCGGACCAGGCAAGAAGAACGGTCAATCCGAGCTCCCCGAACTGGCGCCCAACACACATGGCTGAATATACGTGGACCGAGGTAGGATATAACAGGGAGCCGCTGCAGCGCCTGGCATCTGAAAATGAGTGGGGGCACCTCCCGCAGGTGCAGCACCGCTGCCACTCGAGATATAGGTGGGGGAACCTCCTGTAGGTGTACCGCCGCTGCCACTTTGAAACGGAGTGGGGGCACCTCCCGAAGGTATAGCGCCACTGCCATTCGAGACAGATGTGGGGGTACCCCCCGGAGGTACAGCGCCGCTGCCACCTGGGGAAACTCCTTGCTCAGGATCGTCCTCACCCATATGCTTCCTCGACGCGGCCACCTCCAGCCCGCGGGCCGAAGCAACCCGCCGAAGGGCAGAGGCAGCGCTGGGAGAAGGCGGCATTCCACTGGCTGTAAGACTGGCCCCAGGATCAGACCCAGAGGTTGAAACTGGCACTGCGCGCTCTTCAACAATCCTGAGATGTCTGTCTATCGGTTGAAAGCATGACTAAATCTCATTGAAAGTGGTCTTGCCGTGTGTGCTGAGCCCTGGGGCGCACGTGCCAGCAAAATTGCTGCTCACTGGCGCATTCCGGTGTAGAAAAGGCCCCGCAGCTCAGACGCAAGGAGCAATCGGGGCCGTCAGGAACGTGAGAGAAGGGTCTGCTTGTGACCGTTTCCCTCAACCACGTCCGTACAATGCTGGCGAGGTCCCGCGCGCCTCCCTGGCTCAGGCTGCACCGCTGACCCGGTTCCCATTCGACGCGCGGTGCAACGCCGAATACTGCCAAGCCTCTGCCAGTCGTGCTGCTCCACAGGCTGCGCCACTCTGGGTGCCCTGGGTGGCCCGATGAACTCAACTTCGCTCAAGTCGAGCCTCGGCCGCTTGGGAAGCAACTTGGCCGCAAACCTGCACGCTGTTCTCGAGATTCGCACCGACCTGTCGACGGTTTCGCACTCCTCCGACGAGGCTCTAGGGCGGGGCAGGGCACCTTCGCGCGCGGCCCTGTCAGCGCGATCATTCCCTTTTCTCCTGAACCACTTTTCTGGCGACAGGTCCTACAAGTCCTAAATCGGCGATCGGATGCTTGAAGAACGACCCGTCCACGCACAAGCCCCCCTGCAAATCCCCATTTTCCCCTTCAGGATAACTGTGCGATCTGATCACCTGCTCCCCGACCGGACGAGGTTGAGGCCAGAGCGACCCGGGGTGGGGAAAGATGCCCCGAGTGAACAGATCAAGATCCGAGGGGGGAGGATCGCCATCGTATTCGGCAAGCACTGTGGCCGTGGCAAGCTCAGTACGCTCTTCGGCGCACGCTTCGCACTGCCACAGCCGATGAAAGATGGAATCCTTTTCCTTGCCGTATAGCTGACAGAGCTGCTGCTGCTCCGTCAGCTGGTGCCCGAGAGCGGTCGCCCGTTCGGCTGTCCAGCAGCCGTCGCGCGCCATGCGTCTGATAGAGCCGCGCTCCGGCAGCGAAAACTTGTTCGACATGGACTGGGCCTGAAGAATTTGTCAAAACAAGCCCTGCCCTTCCCTTCCCCAATTTTGTTGGTCGCCGAGACCTCGAAGAACCTGATGATGGCCTTCTGGGGGATGCATTTGAGGAGCTGGGGGCTAACCAACGTTAGCGCGATGTCGACCCCGTTGTGGTCACGAAGCATGGCAAAACTTGGCATGGTCCACCCGGGCCTCCTGACCGAGAGGAAAAGGATCCTCACGGGGCCCCCCACCGCATTCCATTTAACGGGTTGCCGTTTAGGGTGCTCGAAGATCGCGGCCCAGCCTTGCCTCAAGTCGGGGAGAGGAGTCGAATGCAGGAAGGCGCGGCACTAACCGGCTAACATTTCTTTGTTTCAGCGCACAATAAGAGCATCTGCAGCATGCCAACATGGATCGTCGCCAAAAACCGAAGTCGCAGTAAGCGACTTCCCTACCGCTGAAGTACGCATGCGTTTCCCCGCCTGCACTCTGAGAAACTCCAACTCCTTATGACTGGCCCCACGCTCCTCCGTCCCATAAACAATGCCTGGCAGTGGCCCACTCGCAAGGATACACCGAGCTGACGCCCCCCAAAGCTTGCGCTGACGAGCAATGCGGCGCACGCGTGCACGAAAGTGAGAGGTCCGCTTCTTACGCTCGGAGCGGGCGACCTGCAATATCGTCAATGCCTAAATTGGTAGCAGAACCCGTGAAGCCTTTCCCACAGAGCTCACCGAGCCACTGGTCCAGGAGTCGTCCGAGACGAGGGCAACTAGCAATCGAGCCTGCCTTGTCTGGAGATATCGCGAGGCCTATGTCGATGGTGATGGCGCGGTGCACCTCAACCGCCCCAGTCTTTAAACCTGCCAGGGCCGGCGAAAGCGTTCCACGGGTAGCTAACCCAATATCGTCTATACACAACTCGAGCTGAACAGAGGGGCAAGAGGGATCCGCGACAAGACCTCCACGTGCAAGATGCGAACGAGGGCGGTGGCCATTCTGCATCCAGCAATGACTTCACGGAGGGCCCCAGCGAACGGCCCAGCAAAGGCGCCAGCGATAATGATGAACCGAGCAGAACGATCAGTTCCCATGCGAAGTCTAGCGATATCAACCTAGAAACTATGATCGATGCACTTCTGCAAGGGCGATTCTGCATCGGCGCCAAAGTCATAGCGCGCATCAATGACCTCGGCGCACGTTGCGAACAACGCTACAGTGGCGCCTGGAAAACGAAAAGCGCCATACCCGCGCGGCACCCCGACCTAGGGGCCCCCCACTGGCGCAAAACAGCAAATATGTCGACGAATCCTAGCACTGGCCCTTAACATACACATACATGCCCCACAGCATGAGGAAGGCGCCTTCTCTAGTCCTCACTGGCTAAGGCTTGGCGCCAAACCATGTCCGACGCGCTCTTGAGGCCATGCCCCGCGAAGAACGACTGGAAGTTGGCCCCGTCCCACTCCGGTGCCGCGGACCGCCGCGTTCTGCCCCAGATGCAATCAGAAGCCGTGAGAATCCCGGTCGGCCTGAGCCCTCCAAGGGCCTTTGAGATCATCGCCAGCATAACGGGCCGAATCTGCATAGGCAACGAGGACATGTTTTCGCAGACCATGAAGTGTGATGCGGAAGCACTGAGGGCCTCCCTCGTCCGACAGGAGAACTCAAATCCTCCACATGAGAAACGCCCGCCGGCGCAGCCGACCTGCTGCCGCGAGACCGACTGGCGGTCCTCAAGCTTTCAACCGTGATCCGCGGGAGGGGCTCCAGAGGGGCAAAATCCGATGGGTCGGGGAAGAAAGAACTCGGTGGAATCTTCTGCCAACCGAAGAGCTTTATACCTCTTTCCTTCTTGCCGCAGCAAGGCGAGCGGATCGGCGATGACCTGCCCGTCTGCATACAGAGTAATTGGGGGCTGCCATGCCTCAACAAATTTGGCCCACAGATGGGCGCTGCGCCCCCCAATGTCCAAATCCTTCTGAAGCCGGGCGTTCCACGACCGCCCCCACCCCTGGCGGGCTCGACCGGGCTCCCGGTCCAGCGCCGCAGCCAGCCGCGAGGGTGTCGCGGCTGGCTGCGGCGCTGCAGTCTGGGCAGCCTGCATGCTCTCAGCGATGGCGGCAGCCACGACAACCTGGATCCCAGCAGCCTCCATTGCGCCAGCGCCGAGGGAATGAAACCCTGGGGCGCTGCACATGAAAGTGTGTCCGCCTGAGCTCGCACTCAGGATCGCCCCTTCTAGAAGAGCTGCCCACTCAATGAGGCCCCCCCACATCTTGAGCCAAAATGGCTACGGAGACTAGGACGGAGGAGGAAAGATATGATGATGAGGAGGAGGCGGGGCAGGGTAAAACCAAGACACATCAACAACGCTGCCATGAAGCGTCACTCCACCATTCCTTCTTCATGCAACCGTGCAAGAATTGTATTGTTTCATTGCGGGGGATGCCCCATTGGATGACAACTGTCGGATAGTCCTCAACCGTGACGAAACAACATTCCTGGAAATTCAACGCCGCGAATCAACGTTACTGTTGCGTGCTGACAACCC